AATTTGTTCTCAACTGCATTCTTCTAACCGGTTCCTTTTTTTTGTTTCAGTGGTGAAGTTTCAATCCAAGTTTGCCGTCCCCCAAATCGTGGTTGAGGAGCCCTCCTCCGCTCAGCCACTCACTCCTCCATCCAGCCAACCACTCTTGATGGATGATCTGCCGGCCCAGTCTCACCAAGGGACCAGCCAGCCGATTCACTCGGGGGAGATCTACTTCAACGTAGACACCTTCGAGTTCGACAATCTGATGGGTGAGACTGGGCATACGTCCCAGGCGGGGGTGGGAGACCGGCCCAATGAGGAAAGGGACGCCAAGGAGGAGACTTCTAGGGGGTCCCTTCAACGGAAGAAGCGGAAGACTGAGGAAGTCAACCAGCCTTCCCATCAGGGGGCCCAGTCCTCCGACGCCGGCAAGGGGCCGATAGTGCCTCGTTCTCTGGCTTTAATGTCCAGGTCAAACGAGGAGCTCTTCCGAGCATTCCGTGCTGATCTGTATGAGGTAACCCCTTTTCCTCTCCTACCGCCTACTTACTGTTTTTATACTTTTCTGAGTAATTTTCGATGTCTTTGAAGCAGGTCGGCCGGATCGGGGAGGAGTACTTCGCCCGGCTGGTGAAGTCGATGGATGAGGAGAAGGCCCGGATAGAGGCCATGATGGTCGAATGCCGGAAGGAAGCCCAGGCTGCCCGGGCCAAGGCAGAGAAGATAGAGGCCAAATGGACAGAGCACTGTGCGGTTTACCGCCAGCTCTATGCCAAGCACGACGGTCTCCTCAAGGCTGCGAAAGAGGCCGATGAGCAGGCCCAGGCCAAGATCAATCAGCTGGAGGCCGAAAATGCCCGGTCAGCCGAGGAAATCGCTCGGCTGGAAGATGAGCTGCAGAAAGAGCAATCGGAGCGTGCCGCCCTTGCTGCTGCCTGGGCCACTCAAACGCCTAAGGAGTTTGCTGCTAAGGCGTTGCCTGACCGGGAGACTGCCATCCGCTTCTTCCAAGGCTTGTACAAGTACGAGGTCTCGGCCGGGATCGTCGATGAAATCGGAACGTACGGCTTTGAAAGCAGCCAGTACTCGGAGCGGAAGGCCCTCTATGGCATCCTTCAGCAGAGGATCCAAAGTTTTCAGCCAAAGGCTCTTTCTCTGCCCGAGCTGCACTCCGAGGCGCCTGAACCTCCCTTCCCGGGCATCTGATCCGTCCGGCCTTCCTTCCTCATCTGATTTTCTCTCTTTTTTTTATTATTTTTTTTATATATGATGTAATGGTCTGCCTCCGGGCACTTTTGTATTTCATTGACATATTAATGAAAATATGCTTTATGTTATCATTTCTCATCATTTCTCTTCATCTTGGATTCTTTAACCGTTTAGATTAATAAATAACAGCCCGGCTGTATTTACCCGGCTTAGAATACAATTTTACCCATGTCTTTTCGAAAGACTGGATAGTTAGCCGGGAAGACTTTAAGGCTGACCTGTTTCCACAATGGCTCAACGCCCCGTGTGGATAGGCAAACCTTGAGTTTTCCTTCAAAACGTCCGGCTTAACTGGCCGGGATGCTCTCCCACTAGTAAAGCCAAATCGTTTTTAACTCCCGTGTCAGTACGGATGAGGTGTTAAATCGGTCAGACCGGTCTTCTTTTTTTTTTTTGAGATGTCCAATTCGATTGGACGTCTAACCAGGTAGATTGGTACGCGACGAATTACCGGTTAATATATGAGGACAATCTTTCCGAAAAGAGCGAACTTTTATTAATGGTCAGGAACCCGTTACACTTTATCTATAAAATTTACGTAAGTGGTGAGAGTTCCAGTGTCGCTCGACCCGGCTACCTTCCATAGTCTCCAACTGGTAAGTGCCCGGTCTGACAATTACTTTTACACGATAGGGCCCTTCCCAGTTACGCGCCAGCTTGCCCCTCTCATTAGGCTTACTAGCATCCCTCCTGCGCAAGACTTCATCATGCACCTGGAAGTATCGCGGTCCTACCCGGTTGTCATGATACCGCTTTACCGACTGCTGACAACCGGCCATCTTAACAGCTGCTATGGTCCTTCGTTCTTCCACCAGATTCAACTCAGCTAGGTGGTCGACCTCGTTCTGGCCGGGCTGATACACGGTTTCTCTAAATGTTGGAATTTCCGCTTCAACTGGCAACCGGGCTTCACATCCGTAAGTGAGCACAAATGGAGTTTCTCCGGTTGCCCTTCTTGAAGTCACCCTATGCGCCCAGACCGTGTGAGGCAAAGCTTCCNTGTTCACTACCACAAACCTCATTTGTTTCTGGACGACCTGGTCTCCTGTGCCTAACTCACAAGTAAGAAGGATTGACCCTTCAGCTTCAACAGAGTCCCCGGTGAACCCGGACAGGGGAGTCTTTAAGGGCTCAAGCCGTGTCCGACACAACTTGAGCTTTTCAAATGCATCCAAGTACAAAACGTTGACACTACTTCCCGTGTCAACGAGTACCCGGGAGACATCGACTTCACCCATGTCCATAGTTATAACTAGGGGGTCATTGTGATCTTCTCCGGTGGCGGGGAGGTCCCGGTCAGTAAAAGTGATCGGTTCCCGTCTTGCTTGTTTTGACCGGGGATTGAGGGCTACCGTCCCCACGTAGAGTTCTCACCCCCACTTCTTCCTTTGGGAAGCAGAATCTCCCCCTTCCGGTCCACCGTAGATGACCTGTAAATGCTCTGTACCGGCGGTTTTCTTCTTTTTATTCTGCTCGGCCGGTTGTCCTTCTGGTCTGACCCATTGGTTCTTCTTTTGCTTAGTTTGGGCCAGATATTCAGGATCAATCTCACCGGCCTCAATCATCTGCTTTATTACCCCCTTCACACTGTTACACTCTGCAGTGTTATGGGAATCAGTTTTGTGAAAGGAGCAATACTTCTCCGTCCATTGTTTCTCGCCGGTCAGTTTCTTCTCTGTTTTGACCGGTTTTACCTCCATGACTTCTGCTGTTATCTTACCGGGCAATGTAATTTCCTTTTTCAAGGAAACTTTTCCCTTTGAGTGGCCCTGCTCGGCTTCCCTCTTGGATGACACCTAGGCTTCAGCGTCAGCATAGTCCCAGGCCGTGTTATAGGCCTCTTGATAGGACTGGGGAGGCCTCCTGCAGAATTCTTTGTATAGTTCTCCGGACCGGAGCCCGGATACAAGGAGGGACATTGCTGTCTTGTCGTCCATCTCCTCCACCTTGTCAACCTCATCCTTCCACCGGGTGAGGAATTTTGTCAGATCCTCGTGCTCTCGCTGCCCGGCTGTACTCAAGTAGGTAAACTTTTTCCTCTTGGTACAGTTTTCTTTGAACTTTTCTTGAAACACCTCAGCCAGTTCATCGAAAGAATCGATTTCACCGGCCGGTAAGTTATGAAACCACTCGGCGGCTCGGCCGCGGAGGGTCTGAAAGAAAAG